CGTTTTATAGATATAAGCTCCTTGTATAGTAAATTTCTTATGGTGGAAACACGACCAAATTTCTCCACTAATAATTCCCTTATGATTTTGTAGTTTTCAGGTGCCCTGTCGTAGCCTCTTACTAGCTGTTGGGCACTTCCCTTTAGACATGAAACTAAATAATTTAACTTTTGTATGTCGGGTATGTTATGAGTGTACAGAGGCTTCGAAACAACTCCAAAATTCTCTCCATGTTTTAGGATCCCCACTGAATGTTGGTAATGACAATTGTGACAAATTTACTACTGTACAACATTCAGTTGAACTAGACCCTTTATTTTACATTAAGCGTTTAAGAGCTAACTCGGCATCATCCTTATACATCGATAGAATTATAATACTATCCGTAGTTATGTCAATTAAATTTAAGATACCTCGATCATCGTTTGCCATTTCTTCATATTTCTCTTCTTTCTTCTTCGACTTTGGTACCAGTTGAATGTGTTCCACCCACTTGTCTTTGATTTTTTCGAGAGTGCCAACATATCTTTCAAGGCGCATCAACTTTTCCTTGATGCTTCTTGCCCTGCTTCCGTATTGCTGGCACAACTCTTCTACAGTTAATTGTTGATCCAGCTGAGTTACATCCATTTCTCGTACTTCATCGAGAAGTCTCTCGAGATTTGCTTTTACAGATCTCTGACAATTATACTGGAAGACATACCTCACCTCGTCGCACCAAATTTTATTTTGTCGTGAAAGCGTGATGACTGCCAGATATCTCTTGCTGCCGAGCTGAACGTCAGGTAATTAAACCAGAGCAAATCTTACCAGATGAAGTACTCTTGATGTGAGGGGATTTGTGGAGAATCAGTTCGTTGTAAAATAACGATGGTCCGAGTTTTGAACTCTTATTGAAACAGCAGTTAAGAACAGCAGTGGTACCTAAAAGCGATGAAGTCCAAGCTGGTCGATCCCCTTAGGGTTAGGCTTATATATGTTAGAGGATGGGCGCGGTTTACAGTGAGCTTTCAAGCACCGGAAACAAACCGCAAATGGTACAAGCATAAGATTGAATAGGAAGACTGACATGGGAAACAGGGTTTAAGCAGAAGAATGGAAATTAGTTAGATGAGATAACAACTAACGTGTAAAAAGGCTATTTAAGGAATGTAGACATGTCGGAAATGATTCATGGTTTCATCCGCATTAAGATACAATGATGAGAAATTTATCTCACTATTTATTTGAGGTTTCGTTTTCACGACAGCCTTTATTGTGTTTAAATTGTTTTTGATTTTTGTTTCATATAATTAAATTTGAAGCTCTCAAAATTATTTACTACTAAAATTCATAACTCTATTAAATGTAATAAATGACAGAATTTGATACACGAACTAAACATACCCATCCATAAGCCAAGATGTCCGCCAACGTCAGCCAATAAGT